TTTTATTTGTTATTACATTAAATTCTAAATTTTTTATATCTGTATTTCAAAAGAAAGGGTATTTAAATTCCTCTGTGTATGTTGAGTGTTTATTGTTTTGTTCTTAAGTATTTCAAAACTTTTTTTATTTTGATAAAATTATAAATGATTTCTATTTAATCTGATTGTTTTATTTTGAAAATTAAACTAATTGTTTTATTTATTAAAAATAAGATTTTTTCTTTAAATAGAGGAGGGATTTTTCATCAAAAATTAAAAAAAATTAAAATTGAAAATATAACTACAGTCGAACTCGTTTATAACGAGCTCGGATTTAACGAGAACTCGGATTTACCGAGGGAAACTAGAATATTTGGTTGGATCAATGTTAAGTCTATGGAACAGATGTCGCTTTTAACGAGCAAGACCCGGTTTTAGAGAGCAATATTTTTCCGTCTTGTAATCTTTTTTCTCATCTTTCTAGTCTTTCTGTCTTATCTTTTTTTCAAAATGATAAGAAATGTGCGCGAAATAAAAAAAAAAGCGATTAAATTAATTAATGTAATTAAAGTAAGTAAGTATTAATTAAATTTTAAGTAAATTCAATCATTTGACCTCCCAAGCCCCCCCCCCTCTTCTGGTTGCACGCCTGTCTTAAGTACCCGTTTATTACGAGCACTCGGATTTAACGAGTACATGTTACGGTCCCTTTGTGCTCGTTATAAACGAGTTCGACTGTATTACATACATTTATTTTGCACATTTGTTTTAGTATTATATTTATTTGTTTTTAGTTTTTATTTAATTTTAATTTTTCTTTTAGAGTGTAAAAATTAGGTTAGAGTTAAGATCAACTTTATTTCAGTTTGTTGAAACTATTTTTAAATAATTTGAGGAGGAATACTTCCACTTATATGATAGAATTTTTTATGTAAATCAGGTGAGCAAAATTTATACATTGTTTCAATTCTTATTGCTTTTTTACGTGTAAAATATTAAAGCAAATACTGTATCTTTTTTATCTATTTTTTATGTATTTTATTATGCAAATATGTGAATGATGTATGTCATATTTAATTCCTTAAAAGAATTTACATTTATTATTGTCTCATATTTTTTACATTGGAGAATTTCACGTTTCAGAGGACACAAGATCACTTTTTTTGTGTGTCCTGTACAATTTTTTTTTTGCATATTTCAGATGCTATAGCATTTAAGCAGACTCACTGTCATTCTTTTTCTTTTGCTTTTATCTAATAAATGATTTTTTTTAATATTAATTGTTGTATTTTTCTCTTTTTAGGTGAGATTTGTTCTTATGATATTGAAAATCCTTCATGTTTGAAAGAGTTTGTTTGCCCCTTTTGTTTTCGTACGTATGCCAAAAAATTTACCTTGAAGCGCCACATCTCTGAAACTCATAGTAATATAGATCCAAAGAAGTATGAATGTAAAATTTGTCATAAACGTTATTTGAGAAAAGACTATGTTGTGTTCCATTTGCAAACAGTTCATGGAGTTTGAACTGTTCTATAACACAAAGATATCTTCTGTCATAATGTGATGTGATTTACGATTAACAAGACTTTAAATCATAATACAATTTATGATTATTATATGCCTGCATTATAAGTTGTTATTATTACATGTCTGAGAAATTTATTCAGAAACAGAGTATTATATATGAATGTCCATCTTAAATGTATGCCTATTCATTACAGTTTATATATTTTATTGCATTTATATTTTAACATTTATAAACAGCACAATCATATGGTTAAAATCAATATAATAATTTATTGTTAAAATTGCATGATTCTTTCTTGCAATTTCTTTTGGGGTAAATTAAAAAAAAAAAAATTTCTCATAAAATTCCACCAAAAAATTCCAAAAAAAAAAGGAAAAGTTATTCGAATGAACTAGGTAGATCTAAGATTGAAGTATTAAGATTAAAATCTGAAATTGAAGTAAAAAGATTAAAATCTGCACTTGGTAATTAGTTCAATAGTTTGTATTGATTAGTTTTAATTATTATTTTATTATTAAGGATAAGTTGAAGAATAGGCATGGATACAGACATTCATTCTACAAATTTATACTAGTTTAAACATTTTATTTTTTTAAGATTTTGAAAAAAAAGTTATCTTGTTAGTTGTAGGAGCCATTAGTTTTGTTTAAAGTTATTAGTTTAACAATAGTTACATTTGAGTTCAAAAAGTTAGATATTGAGTAATTATTATATTTTAATGTTTTTTATTTCAAAACATTTTATGTTACACCTTTATTTCTATTTTTATTATTATTTTATTTAAATAATATGTTCATAAATTGATAATATTTTTTTAAATAGATAAAATTATCTATTTAAAAAAATTAAAGAGACTATAAATATAGTCTCTTTAAATGTTGCTCTAGTCACTGACCTGATTTTCTGAAATATTTCTTTTCATTATTTTTTCCATTTTTTATTTTATTTTTAAGATTATGTTTTTGGATTGCGTTAATCTTGAATTCAAAACTGCAGAGATAGGTTGAACCCAAGGTTGAATCAAAAATTTCTTGTTAATATTTTAAATTTTAAGACAGATTTTATCACCCATAAGAAAGAAAATATAATATCCATTTCTAAATTATATATTTTTTCTTTCGTTTAAAAACAGTTTAAGATTACTTAATTATTAATTTAATTTAATTGAATCTGTTAATTGTTTTTTTATATTTAATGAGCAAATACGTTCCTATTTCATATTAACGACTGTGATTTTTTTAATGTTTAATATTTAGAATATAAATATACCTATGTTTCTTTTATGTTAGTATAATTAGTTCTATTGTGCATAAATATTTTTGCAATTCCATTCTTATAAAATAGATGATGTTTAACTTTGAGGAACATTTTTGTTTCCAATATCTTTTTATTTTTTATGAGGGGGGGATGGCAGATGTTATGAGATTAACATCCTAGTTAAGTAAAAAAGAAAGAAGAAACTGCATTTTAAAAACTGTAGGAATTATATTCTTTATGAGAAAAACTGTTTACCATTGATAGTTAGTTTAAGCTAAGGTTGTATCAAGTTATTAAATATTATTTGGTTAATAAAGAATGAGAAGAATTTTGATTCAATTTGTAACATTCCTGATTACTTTTATGTCAAGGCATTAAAAAAATATTTAATCTGTCGCACGCAACTGTGTTATTTTATTTATAACAATATTGTTTAGGAGTGTTAACAAAAAAAGACCTAAGTTTAAATTCCTATTACTTAAAACTGAAATTACTCATTAATCTAACTGTCTCTTAAGGAATTGAACCTGACTCAAAGCAGCCTTCCATTCTTCCCAATTCTACACATTTGATTTTGAGTTCTTTATTTAAATCTTTTTCAGGTTACCAGGAGTACCATAATGTAACATTTTGAAAGAGCGAAAGTTTTCATTTGACTGAATATAATTTCTAATTTAATCAAAACATAAATAAGTGCATGCAAATGTACTGCATACAATAAAGAAACATAAAAATCAACCCAAGGAAATTTTCTAGATGGTTAAACTATAAGTATAAATAAGAATAAATTGTGTTAAATACTATCAATAAACAAGTATATTTTTAAAAGTCTAATAAAGAATAAAGTTTAGACCCTATTATTTGGAGATTTAAATCTTCAAACCTTTTTCACTCAATTTTTGCTCTTTTATTTTTATATTTATTTTTTTATTATTTTTCTTTGTATATTTTCGAGTAATATTTCTTAGTACAAAGTAAATTTAGTTGAAATTTTATATTTTTTTGTAGCATTTATTTTAATTTTGATTATTTTTAATAATGTTACTTCTGGGCTGAGTGATTTATCGCAAACATATTTTCACAAAGCTTTGAAAAATTGATACAGCAACAATGTGAGTGTATGAAGACTTATTAGAATTATCTAAGTTTTTGAAGATAAATTGTAATGCCCTTCTTATCTAAGATATTAAGTTAGATATTAAATTTTAAAAAAAGTTAAATTTTTAAGTTCTAGCATTTTAGCATCTATATTCAGGAAAAGTATATACGTTCAGCATATATATTCAGGAGGAAAAAAAAAAAACAATTTCTTTTGCAATATAAAGAAAACTGTATCTCATTATTAAAATTTTTCCAATTTTAATTACGATAAACTTAAAATGTTATTCAAATTGTAATAATAATCAAATTGCAATGGTTAGGTAAATCTAGTGAAGTTTCTTATTTTTAAGGTGTAATAAATACCATCTGTACTAATTATGTATTCACAATATTTTTGTTAATAATTAAATGCAAAATAATATTTTTAATAAACGGATTTACTATAATGACTTAAAAATATGTGAATATACTTGGCAACTTTGTAATTTTGTTTAAAAGGGGCAATAAGAAAAAGGCCCCCCTTTTACAGAATAATTTTTATGCTATTTTATTAAAATAATGGCATTTACTTTTTTAGTTTTTCTAAATTACATGTTAAAATATTTTGCTTGTCATTTCACATAATTTGGACACTATGTTTAGTTACTTTTATTACATTTTTTTTAAACTCCTTAAATTATAATAGATGCTGCTATAATATTTACTTTTTCCATTTCTCTGTACAGAAACTGCATTAAATAAGTTAGGTGCAATTATATTAAGATTTCATAAAAATGTGTGATAATGTAAAAAATAAAGGAAGGAAACAAAATAATCTCAGCACAAAATATAATTAAAATAAAATTATGCTATAAAAGTTAGTTTTTATTGTATTTAGTAATCATGATGTTACACATCCTAAGTTTTATAAATTAAAATATATTCACACCAGTACTAAAAAGTTTTGGTAGTATGAAATTATTAAATTATACATCCTAAGTTTGATCAATTAAAATAAATTTTTATCATTAATAAGAAGTTCTGATTATATAAAATCATGAAATTATAGATCCTTAAGTTTTATGAAAATAATAAAAAATGTTTTGAAAAAGAAAAGTGTGTTTTTGTTTTATCACTGACTGAAAATTATTATTTTTTTCTTTTAACTTTTATGTTTTCAACAAAATATATATTTTTATGTATTTATATACTGTGGGAATATTAAGTAATTTTTATCATAACGCATGTTTTTTTTAGGTGGTATACAGTTTGCCACTGGTGACTATAGATGTCCATATTGTCAGAGAATCTATTCAAATAAAAGTAATTTGAAGCGGCATGTAAAAGAAACTCATCAAAAAGCTAATGCCAAAAAATTTCAGTGCCACATTTGTCATAAATTTTATTGTAGAAAAGAATATTTGTTGCTTCATATAAGTACTCTTCATGGAGTTTAAAAAATGTTAAATTCATTTTTAAATATTTAATTAAAAATTTGAAACTCATTTTGCAGTTGAAAATTTTTTTAACATTGTTTTGTATTTTTCATATTTTGTATTGTTCATTATTGTTTAATGTATATCCATATTTTCATGTTGTATATAATTAACGGTTTAATTAATTAATGAGTTGTAATTAATTTAAATCTAGTTATTATCTACTCAAAGTATGTTTTAGAACTGATATAGTTTGAAAATTAAGTTTAGCTTTCTTTTGTGGTTTTAGTCACGATTACTGATCGAATGAAGACTGATCTGTTTTATGGAAAAATTCATATGATTAGGTTTCGGTAACTTTCTGTTACACTTTTTCCTGCCTCAGGACTTTCAGATGTAAGATTACTCTCATTTGAAAATTTTAATGCTTTCTTTAGCTAAGAATGTCCGTCGAGCCAACTTCATCAGTGATGAAGACCCCATCAATTTCTGGATCAAATTTGAAATTCTGAAAAAAAATTTGTCTGTGTGATGTTAAAATTTTTTCTACTTGTACACTCTTTTGAGGGACACCAATGGAAAACGAAACCATTTTTTTTTAACTTTCATGGATTCTGAGAATAAAGATGGCCTTTTTATTCATTAGAAATCGGATTAATATGCTTAATAGGTGTCCTGATAAACGGTTCTCTACTGTGATTCATATAATTTGTACTTTTATTGTTTAAATAAAATTATAATAAATATTTATTTTAATCTATGATATTATATAAAAGGAAAAATGCTAAATTGTGTGCAAAAATACTGCCAAGTAAACTTTTAAAAATACGTTACCTTACCGATAAAATTTGTAAGATTTACTCAAGATCTATTTTAAACTGTTTAGAAAAACTAAAACTTTATGCTGAAAGAATAAAGTGAAAACCTGGCACAATTTTTAAGAACTTAGTGGTAGAAATATAGTAGGCAGATTGTTTACACTTTAAAACAAAAGTAGTTCATTGATCTTTTAATTAGTCTACATTTCAGCTTTGTCCCGACAACTGCCCCACTTATAAATCTGACTTGTTCAGGAATAGGCTGGTCCATCGGAGCATATTCAAGTGTGCCGTCTCTACTGCCATTTTCTAGCCTAGTTGACCTGTTAATAGATATAGTGTTTCTTTATATTTTAAAATATTATCTAAGTTATTTTGCTTTCGTTACAGTTTCCCTTGTTACCTATGATTTATTTATTTGTGTTTAATTTCTTTCGAAAATTGAGTATCGTGTATCCTGGTGCTTAAGTCGACTTTTCGAGCCCCCAAAATTGGCAGAAATCAGGGGGATAACTTATACATCGTTAGTAAAGTTAGACATTCTTTCATTGTGAAATATTAATGCATTATGAACAATTAAATAGCTATGAATAACTCTGAAAAATTAAGAATAAGAAAAGTTAAAATAATTTGTTCAAGAGTACTTCACAAAATATGACACAATAAAAGCTTTTAAAACGTACCTTAAAGTTACACATTTAAAGATTTCAAAACATACCCGTATTGGATTCAATAAAGTTTGCCGTATTATTATATATGTCTCAATTGGCAATGAATTTTACTTCATTCTCATCTACTGAGTCATCGACTCAACCCACATCAAAGAATTCGAGATTCCACACTTTTAATATAATTTCACAATAACATGTGAATTCACATTTTGTCATGCCTCTAGTATCATTTGAGTCTATAGGAATAATAATCGACTTATTGGCAGAAAGTTATACACCTCTCAAACAAAAAACTAGCTATTTCTTATCAAAAATGGGGATTAATTTATATAATAAGATGTAGGGTAATTCTAACATCTGGATGAAGCTACCAAATTCTACTTGTTAACTAACATGTTTTTTAAATTTAATTTGTTTACAAATATAAAAATATTACATCATTTTTATAATTACAAACAAGTTTGAATAAATCTTTAGTTTCAAATGCTTTATATAATTCACTATATATCATTAAAATAGTTTTGTTTATCAAAAATTAAATTTATTAATTATTTATATTGCAAATTTTTTATTTATTCTGTCTTCTAATTGTATTTTTATTATGTATACCAAATGGGGTCCTCCAGTCCATTCCTGAACTTGTATCCTATACACATGCATTCTTATGAATATAAACTAAGTTTCACAAGAATGTATTTGTCTGTATAGAAAGCCAGATGCAAATTCACTTTTATTATATACAACTGCATTCTTACGAAAATTGTTTTATATTCTTAAGAATGTGGGTTTTATTACTAAGATATCAATATCTACAGTATTCAACTTGTTTTGGAATAGTTTAACACTAAAGTTTATCTTTTTTGTAGGGGGTTTCTGCTTTAGTCAACTTGCCTGTTCATTAAATCAATCTGATCCAAACCTGAGAGTTCAATGTGGTAAACAGTCTTTAGGCTATGGAAATTTTTATGTTCAGGAATCTATGCAAGCTGAAAGGCCAAAGAAGGGTGTACACTTTCTGGATGTTGTGCTGAAATCTGAATTTGTAGAAGATGCAGAGAGTAATGTATCGTTTGAGTTATTAAGCAAGAATTGTTCTCTGTGTGAGAAGACGTTTGAAGAAAAAGATCTAGAGACACACATACGGTTAAGTCATAATCCCACTGTTTATATAAGAGATGATGCAACTTTAAAAGATAGAGATCCCGATGAACCGGTCACCTTAAAAACGAATAAGTCGCAATTAAAAGAGTGTCAGTTTTGTCATAGAAACTTTGACCGTAAATCTACACGGTATGAAAATCACATAGCAAATTGCAGAGTTCAAAAGGCCCTTGTTAAATGTATTTATTGTGATAAGACATTTACAAAAGAGGCATTTTCTAAACATATATAAATATCACAAGTGATATTTATGAAAATTCTGTTTTACTCTTAAACTTTATAATATTGGATTTGTTAAGTATAGTGTTTGAGTTTGAAGGGTGTCATTTTCAAGTTCAAACTTTCCTGAGAATTTGACTTCGACCTATAAACTCTATTAAAAGTTAAATTGATGCTCAGTATTGAGGTGTAACACTCTGCACTCCCACGTCACAGGTACAGAGTTCTGTCCCCAGACCAGGCAAGGTTGACTCAGCCTTTCATCTCTTCAGTATGTTTATAAAATGAGCATCAATCATGCTTGGGGATGAGTTCTGTGTTTGACTGACCATTAATCAGAACATCTGCTCCTGTACTCCAGAGCACAAGGTCAAGAAAACTAGGACGGGCACAGTAGGCCTTAGTCTTCCATGGGCTGTTGGGCCACTAAATTTATTTTAAAATTTATATGAAATCCTAGGAAATTATTAATAGAATTACTAAATAAATGTTAATTTCAACTTATGTATATATTTTTTCTATGTACAATAAGAGGTAAAGGTATCTTTAACTGCAATATAAAAAAAATTGAATTTTATGTTATAACAGTTGATGAAATAAATACTAAACAAAATATTGAAATGGTACAAAACCATAAAAGAGTTAGATATGAATATCTTGCATGTTTACTCTCAAATAAATGAACATTTTATGTCAAGAAAATCTATCAGTGTCTTCATTAGTCAACTCTATAAATATCTGTAGGAAAACGTTTCATTACATATATGAGAGGTAAATATAATATGTGTATTCCTTATATTAGAAAATATTGATAATTAATTGAAGTAAAGTCTTTTTTTAAAATTTTAAACATTTTAGTTGAATTTTACTTTTAAATGATGCTGCATCTCCTTTTATTTTAATTTAGATTGTAGCATTTAAATTGCATTAATTAATTATTGTACCACTTTCTTACTCTAGTGTGTTTAATGAGTTCTGAAGCATTGTAAAGTGTTTATGCATTTATTAGATCTATAAAAAATAATCTTATTTGCAAGCATGATGTTTCAGTTTTTTCTCACTCCTTTCAATCTTTTTTTTAACAAACTTATATTCTAGATCATTTAGACTTAGCTTTTTTACTTCTTGTTATAAAGAATACAATTTTCTAACTTAGATTCATAATTTTGAATTTTACAAAGTTAAATTTTAAAATAACATATTGTTTAAAAACTGCTAGTTTCATTGTCTTATTTTGTATAAACCGACAAAATTGAGTTAATCCCAACTGTGTCAAAATTTCATTTGTTAATTTCAGTATTTTTTGCAAATTTTTCTCTTTATATATTTTCATATAAAAAGTTTTATTTATTTATTTTTATTTTCATCATAAAACTTGAGATGTGCTTGTGTGAATTGAAACCAATGGTTGTTATTAGTTTAAAAAGAAAGTTATTGTATTTTTCATACTGACTGTAATATGTTTATCAACAATAAAATTCCCTTTAAAGTTTTTAAAAGAGGCAACAGCAATTTTAAATCAATTAGCAAATCTGAAGAATTATCTTAAAAATATTTTTTTTTAAAAAAAGATTCATTGTTCTAATATTTTATAAACAAGATGGATGCAGCTTAGAAAAGTTTATTTTTCATCTACATCTCATCGAACATAACAATTTCTGATTTTTAAAAACAATTAAACTTTTTTTTAAAAAAGTGTTAAGGGATTGAAAGAATTTTCATTGTTATTTGTATACACTCATTTTTGTACTTATTAGTTTTGTTTGAGTGACATAAATTAATAAATTTAATATATTTTTAGAAGTAATTTTATCAAAAAATAAGCGACCACCGAAGAACCCTGCGATTGAGGCTCTCCTTGACTCTACCGAAGAACCTTTCTGCATTTTATGTGAAAAAAGCTTTCTTTCAAAACAAACACTGAAGAGGCACCTGAGAGAAAAACACTTCCCTGAGCTACTAACCATGCAATGCGATATTTGTTTAAAGACATTTCATAGAAAAGACTATGTTAGCATCCACAAAAAGATGATTCATAAAATTTAAAGTCTCATTCATCATTTTTTGGTAAAATTTATTAATTAACTTTGAAATACAATCATCAACATTTTACAATAATAGTTTTTAATCATATACATAAGTCGATAATTTTTATTTAAATAAAAAATAAATTATTTTGAAGTTAGTTTATAATTTGAAGTGACTTAAAATTTTACGCATTTTTGGTATATTTACATTCATATATTTTATATTGTATAAAAACTGAGCAATTTTTTTTTTAATGTTTTTAAATGTCTGTTTTATATTTAAATAAGCTGTTTACTGTTTCATAAATGCCAGATGAAGCAGATTTTGTTTATAATCTTACATTGTATTCAGTTAGGCTTGGTGTTCTCACTTATTTTTGTCGAGCTTAGGAAGCTCTTTGAGGTCTGTACTTGGTATCATTGTCCTGTGAGAAATTTTAATCTCTCTAAAATTTATAGTATTTAAAAAAATTCATACTGCATAATTTATTTGCAATATTGTAGATTTGATGACATACTATAAATATTTCTCCTTTTTATTTTTATGTAAATTAATTTAAACTTTTTGTGAGTCACATTTTTTATCTAATCTTTTCTTGTGGTAAACCCTAAAAGGATTGTTATTTTATTTTTAGCCATTGCTTACTAAGTTCCATGTTTTTAGTTTTATCAAAATGTATTATTTTCAATTTATTAAAATTAGAACCGTATATGCCAGCTAAAAATGAAATGATTAAACATTTTTCTAAACCTGCCGAGTAATTATATTTAATGTCAAACATAATGTCATCAAAGTCAGAAATAAAAGTTATTACATAATTATATTTAGTATTTTTATATCAATTAGTATTATTTAAAAGTAATTTTTTGGTGCAACCAGTAGATTTTATTTTATTTTGTTTTATTTTATAATAAGGATGTGAATTTTTAGTAATTGCCATAGATTATTAATAATCATATTAACAGTGGTTAATAACTTTTTAAGGGTGTGTGGGCCATTTTTTGGTCTGTATGGCATTGTACCATTTATTCGATAAGGTAAAGTGTATATTAATTTTCAAATTTCATACTTAGCACTAAAATATCCAACACTTATGCAGTGTCAGTATTTTCCACTTTTTCAGTATCATATGTATATTAAAACTCAGCATGTTTGTATTGTTTTTATTTTTTAATAAATTAAAAGCTATAGCAGAAAAAATCTATTTGTTTTAATAATAAATTTATCATCTAACTGCAAAATGTTGTTGATATGCATTATTCAATTAATTGAATAATGCATTATTCAATTATTCTGCATTATTCAATTAATATTTTATAAAATTTTTAGGCCTAAGTAAATTTTTATAATATTATGATTTATGTTTTTTCCTTTACAAAATATACTCTATACCTAAAAATAGCCGTAGAAAAATAACAAAATAAATATTATAACTTTGAATGAGAGGTTTGCCAATGATATTGTATCATATGTAAAAATATCTGTGCAGCACACTTTTTTGAAATTTCATGAATATAAAAGAGTGAAATAAGTGTATTGCCGCAATTAAAATTTCTTAATAGATTGCTAAAAAAAACTTCAATACTTTTTTCTTCTCAAAAGTATATTTTAGAAAAAGTATTTATATATTTTTTTAAAAAATTCGTTTTATTTTATGTGTATATTTTCAGATAAAATTGTTTATATAATGTATGCTAGTGATGCGCAATCTTTTTGAAAGAAGAGCAATTGGACTGAATAATTACTCTTCCAAGGGTAGCAATGATGTAAAAATTATATAAATTAAGAGCAATTGCTCCTATGGAATAGAACTTATTCGATTTTTTGAGAATGTCTAATTACCTTATTCTACTTAAAAGTTTTGATACATATTTATCAAATGCGTGCCACAGTTTAAAAGTATTTAAAAAGCTTGCACAGATTTTTTATTACAAAATTAAACATTTCTCTATACGTAAATTTCTTTTAAATCAATATTTTTAACTGCATACTAATTGCATATTTTGTTTTTAAAATTAACATTTTAACTATATTTGTTTTAAAAATTTAATGATCAACTTAATTATTTAGGATTTCTTTTGTTATAGTTTAGATATTACATCAGAGTTTGTTAAAAAAATTTCTAAAAATATTTTATACACTATTTTATACAATTTTCAATTACAGTTTCAGTAGAAGTTTACATAGAAACCTAAATGGTTTCCTAGCAGACTACATTTGGCTACAAGTTATGATTACTTGATCGTATGATTACTTATTGTTGTATGATTACTTGATCTATTTAAGTTCTATTTCATTGTTCGTTTTTACAATAAATTATATTCCTGTTGTAATATAATTATGTCTATTTCAGTTTTTTAACTTTTTAACTATTTCTTCAGGTAAAATAATAAAATGAAAAAATTCTCCTATACTTAGGGTAATATTGGAAAAATCTAATTTGTAGTACAGGATATAACTCAATTTGGGATAGACCAAGTCCTATACCAGTAAAGTTTCTCAGTTAAATTGTTAAATGAACACAAATGCAGTCAAATCTTGATATCACAAAAAATCTACATTCTCTATGCATTTACTCTGTCGGTAATCAAAAATTCTCTTTAAGTATGAGACTTTTAATTTCACAAAGGATTTTTTCATCTCCAAAACTTTTCTCCAATTTCTGAACAATTTAAAATGCTTTTATAAATTCCAATATATAAAAAATATAAAATTTTATGAATCATTTCTTGAAATCCTAATAAGAAAAGCTTAAAATAATAAAAATTGCCTGAATTATCACTTCCTAAAAAAGTAGATAGGCAAGATATGTACATAGATGGGAATACTTTTTCATAAAGTAGGAAATAACTAGTTAATTAAATTAATCCAAAAGAAACTGATATTTATGAGGAAGTATTAACTGATTACCAAAATGTTTCAACTGGAAATAATCTTAATCATTGGGCTCTGGTATCTTGAGATATATCAAAAAAAGAAGATGATAAATCGAAGAACTTCAATACGTAAAAACAAATGAAAAAGCAAAGATATTCACATTGTTAGAAATAAATTAATATTTATTATTATTTTTGGAGTAAATACATGCCCTACAACTTCGTCAGTTTTGTCATTATTTTGACTGAATTGAATTGTTAAAAAAATTATCAATTTTTGATATGAGACTTTGTGTCCCTTCGAGTTTATAACACCATTGTTTGAGTGGTTAAGTTTATGATTACTGTAACATTTAGCTTCTGCTGATTGTTTTATCAGTTTTTGTAAACTCATATTTTAATAAATATTACTCTCTCACAATAGTGTTTCTTTCTGCTGAAACAAAGGATATGCACTCTTTGTTAAATATTAGTTTGTTTTTTTATTATTTTCATAGCTTATATTTTTGAAAAGTATTTTAGTCTGGTTTTAATCACATGAAGCTACTACAAACACTTCACTTCAATATGAGAAATATTACTGTTTATTATTTAAGATCCTTAAAATATTTGAAATTAATAAAGAATAATGTGTCATAATTTATAGATAAATAAAATTGCTTTCTTGGCAATGATGAGATAATTACTATGAGTGTAAAGAGATAATACATATATATTTTTAGTTCATATTGGTGTTATTATGTATAGATTAGTTAGATATTACATCATATTTACCATAAACTATTTAAAAATATATGC